TGTAGTTGTCTGGATCTTGCAGAAAATTACATTTTATATATTCAATTAGACATGTCCCAAATTGTCCTACATAAAAGGAGATATTAATTTGTTCGGAAGATTCTCAGATACAAGTAAATGAACTTTTACTGGAAACCAATTCATTTACCATGTAAATAATGTAATGACTGTACAGTTATATAAAATAAATTCATGTAGTTTATAAATTTTCAATGAAAGCTGTGATGCTCACTTTTGCCATCAGATTTCTATTGTAGAATTAGCACTCGTTTGTTGTTGGGCAACTACATTAATGTTGCAAATTAATTAAAATAGGTTTATGTTGCTAATTTATTAAACTTGATTTACAAAAATATAATGTACATAATGTACTGAAATTAAATAATATACTTCTATAGCAGGATGGAAAAATTTATGTTTTTGATAAGCATGTGTGAATGCATTGTATGCAAAATTCTAAAACAGAAGGTTGTTAATAAAAGTCAAAGAAGAAATATCTTTGGTAAAACCACACAGGAAGCTGAATAATAATTACTCCCTTACCAGTGTCAAATGTTGTCTATGTAATTATATCAACAAGGTAAAGTATATGCAGATACATATTCTTTGTAGTCAGTAAGTCTGAAGTCATGGGGCATAATCAGAAATGAGAATTTTTATAGTAGTAGTCAGAATCCAAAATCTGTTAATAGAGTTCGAAAAGAAATGACGACAATGATTTGGCCACATAAAAATAATGGATAGGAGGACATAAGAGTTAACATTTAAAAGAATGAGACCCACTCGCCCAGAACGAGATGGTACCAGATGACAAGACGAGAGGGAACAGCTGGCAAGAAAAGGAAAGGTTGTGGGAAGACTGAAGACAGTGAACATTTTTCATCCATTGTCCCATTAAAAGATACCAGAAGATTGTATAAAAATAGCAAAGCATTTTATGCAACTGATGAATCTTAGTTAGCATTTTATGTTACAAGGGCAATGACTTAAATGTGTCTAGTCCTATGGAAGCATGGAACTGAGCGAATTAGTTCAGCATATACTGTGCCATGTCTCCCATCTACATTCCCAGCTCACCATTCCATCCAACTTTAAGTAACAACAGTTCTAGAAGAGCAGCATAAGTCAAAGTTCCTGGTTAAGCAATATACCCTCCCTTCTTCAGTTCATCCCACTTGCACACAAATGTTTCCACTTTAGGAAAACAAATGACATAAGATGGAAAGAGAAAAAGGGACTACATTAAAATTGCTAATTGGACCTTTCCATTTGTAGCTGTTCATGTAGTATCCCAGCATCCTAAATATGTACAATAATTCATTGGTAAGTACAACAGGTGCCTTTCTCAAGAATATGACATCAATAAACAAGTTTGGAGACATGTACTGTACAGAGTACATGAAACTTCCAAAGGTGTTCTTTATGTTACATCTGATAGATGTGACATGAACAAGATGTATCATCATAATGTTGGTCTGACCTAATGGCAACAACAAAAAATTCAGCCCATACTGCAAAGAAAACTGTCTCCATTACAAAGAACTTCAGCAGAATAGACACTGTTCTGACAATGTCATGGCAGCCAATCCTACTTTAAAAAAACCTATCACCACTTACAAAGATCATGTAAAAACCTTTGGGACTTGCACTCTTCTGCTCTACTATTTGGGGGAGGGGGGGTCAAATCATAACTCAATGCTAAAATCAGTGATACTGAACCATACTGCTAGTGCAAGCTGAAAGTCAGTTATCAAAACAGCCAGTTCTTAGAAATCAATTCTATTGTTATGACTCAAAATATTTAGGCTGGTGTTTACAGAAATGGGAGGAACCAAGATTCAACCCTGTACATTTACAAATGCACAACTGATTCACTACAGCTATATAGGCTGCTGCAAAAGTCGACACACTGAGATGAATATGATTTCCATTGTGATTTTGCACTTAATTTAATTACTTCTCATGTCTGGCCTCAAATACTATTTTAAGTATCCAAAATGGTCACCTTCAACATTGATATAACTTTGCAGCCTGGGATACTGTGTTCTGACTTTTGCAGAATTCTATAATGTGTATATTACAGCTTCATTTATGAGTACAAATGAAAAATGAGTGAAGTTGGTATCAAGGTTGCATTAACATGCCATTTTTCCAAAGTAGTGCCCACATTTATAAATGATCAACTACCTTTGATAAAACATTCATGATCAATAAGAATGTCCTTTGCAACCACATTTGGGGTTGAAACCCATAGGTTGAGAACCACTGTTACACATATTTTAGCCAATCATCATCATCATCATCATGACCGACTGACCAGTTATATGATTTATCTACATCTTATCCATCCTGAAAATTCATGCAGGTGGGGCTGGTATAATGAATTAAATACTTTAGGACATTTGCTTTATTTTGTATAAATTTATCACACAAGATGCCAAAATCAATCATTGTTAAGATTTCTAGATACCACGGATAACACTACTATCTGTGCCCTGTTTCATGCAAAATACTCTCTAACAATAAATCCACGTTTGAGTCTATATATGGTTGATGAACCCATGTAGCTGTATGATACATAAGTGCTTCCTTAGTGCAACAGTGCGCTATATTATTCTTCACTCTGTTCTTTGCTATAAGTTCAAGTCTGTAGGCCTCATAAATCTCATCACTTACTTTGCCTGAAATATAATAATTTTAATTACATTTGTTATTCTTTTGTGTTCAAAATACTTGGAAGTTGATATTTTTTACTGATTTTGTCTTTGAATTTGTATATTATACTACCAACTGCTGATGACTGTTATTAATGTGTATACACCAAATCGAAAGAGCAGGTTTATCAACAGATTATTTTCATAACCTTGCATTAAATCTCATTAATCACAATTTAGAAGAACATGTTCAAATCAACTGTGCAAAACAGAGACAGCGGTTAGGTGAGAAAATGAAGAGATTCATTTCACTGACTCTTGGTTTACTTAACAATGTTTTCTGACTACCTACATTATGCAGGCAGACATAATTATATCAATTATAATCCACTAAGGAGTGAATAGTGTCTTACACATTTTTAACCTTTATCAGTGTGCACCACAGTTTATAGTGCATTCCAGCTAAACTATTAATCCCAGAGTCAAGGTCTGTCTGGCAACCCCATAATATAGAAGTATAAATCCCAAATTCCCAGATGATAAATGTTAAACCTACCATCCCAGCATTTGCCTGTAGGAACTGAGAAAAACTACAAGAAACTTCAGTCAGGTTAGCCAGGCTCTAGACCAAAATAAAAATTATGGTATGGTAATGTGATCAATGAAAAGATGACTCCATTCTAATAGAGAGAACAGTAAATTCAACAATAAAAGGTACATATTTACCATATCTGTCTGATGACCATGTAAGAAACATAGGTGTTTTATTGGTATTCTGAAGTTTCTCAAGTTTCTCCACACTATGCATCTGTTGGGCAACTGTTTGTAGCTGCCCCACTATTTTGTTCTAAAGAAAAGGGAAAACCTACTTTACCAACACGAACTAGCTTTAGCAAGATAAATCTCCACATTTTATGCTGTCATATACAGACATCAAGTCAGATATTTCAATTGTGAATGTAGAAGTGAAACTACATGACAATAGATTTGTCACAAATTGCTAAACTCTGAACACACTGTGCATCTAGATGCGTCTCACTTTCCATACATTGCCTGATATACGAAAGGCTTCCCAAACCCACAAATACACATTTACTTTTAAGATAGCAACTACAATATTTGCCAGAGTGTTTGAAAACCTTCAATATTTGACATGGCTTATCCCCAAACATACATTAAACAACAGGTACAAAAACCAATGGACAAGGAACTTATAAGATTAAAAAAGAAGTCACTAACCATGAGAACCATATTACAAATGCATTAACATCCTTTTTCACTACAGCAACAAAGTTATAAAGCTCAAAAAAAAAGGAAAGGGGGAACGTTTTGACGTATATTTCACTTACATGAACTCAAAGAAGCAACCACTAGACAGAAAAAACACAAGTCTTTAAACAGATAATGTATCAGCTTGAATGATCAGATATAGTTTTGTTTAGTTCACAATAACTTACTCTACTCTCTTACAAGTTATGATTTACTCTATGTTGTACATACCATGACCTGTATCACTTCATCCAACTGTTCACACTGTGCCTCAAGTCCCTCTGGATAGATCTGTGAACTTCCTTCAGCAGCAACCTCGATCCTGAGCATGAAAATTAAATTTGCCTCGTGACTTCCAACAAAGACTATAAGTAAAGCTGCCCCACTTTACGCCATGCTGACACTTGAAGGACGAGGAGGTTTATCTCCTACTCGTTCTTAACCTTAGCACTAGGTGGGGTCGAGTGGTTAGTGTCACGCCCCAGCTGTGGTTTACCCCCAGGAAAGGACCCCAGTACCCATTGCACAAGGGGCTGGGTGAACCCTATAGTTGGTCTGGACACGAAGGCTAGAGGAAAAATCCTCTGCCTGTCAGGGACTAAACCCCAGTCGTCCAGTTGCTATACTGATTGAGCTATCCCAGCTCCAAAATGTTCATGACAGTGGCTAGAATTTATTTTGTACATCAAGTTGATATAAAATAATGAAGTGTTACTAATCCACTAAATCACTTAGAAATTGTGCATTTTTAAAATTTTGTTGTTGGTTTACAGCCACTGGATGACAACTGTTTTCTTGATGTGCTTAATGCAACAAAACTGGTGAGAATTGCACAATAAGATTACACAACATCACAACTCAGACAACCACAACCCACATTTTCACTGCTCCTAAAAGCTAAAAACTCATATAACCAACTGCAGTGTTATTTTCTAAAATGTTGGACAATTCCTTTCATCATAACCCTCAACTGGCAAACTATCATAATCACAACAATACTTTTTTACTGGTATCAATCAGAAAAATGGGGTATTTCATTACAGCAATACCTGAACACTGGTTTCGGGCACTTTCTTTTTACTTTCACAAATTTCAGTACCTTGTAAAGATGTCAGTATTCGTAACCTTTTATATTTTCCAGTACTTTACTTATTTCTTATGAACTATAATTATTAATCAATATTCTCTTCCAAATAACTTTCAATATTGCACTATGGACCCTGGAGAAACATACTGTTTATGAGACATGCAGGGTTAATATAAGTCAAAGGCAATTTGTTTGGTCATCAAGTTTTGTTTCCACACCTTCAACTTAAGACAAATGTGTATGTCACTCACAATGTGTATTTATGCGTTTTATAAGTAAAAACTGTCACTAAACTGATTTCACAATCATGATTTTCAAAAATTAATTGATAGAAGTACAAAACTTACAGAACAGGGAGTTTCATGGCCATTACAGTGTTAAGGATTTGTACTCCAAGCAAATGTTGAACGTTCCATTCTTGTATAAGGTTGTGGAAGTCTGCAGCTGCATCTCGTACTCTGCGTGCATTTCCAGTCAAATTACCACACTGTAGTATCTTTTTCACAGGACTCTCCTTAACTAAACAAAACACAAACATTCACCGATTAAACCAGGGCATACTAAGACAATTGGAAAACATGTTTATACACACAAATAAAGAGTATGAAACTAAATTGACGGCCAACCAGCTACAATAACAAAATCGTATACGCAAATACCAAACTTCAGCCGGACAAACGGAATTGTAACATACACAACGTAATGAAACAAAACATTCATCTAAATAATGGCACGGTAATATGTGCATTCATTACCTGTCACGAACGAAAAACTGGGAGAGTATAAAGTTGGCTCCATTTCCTTCTCCTAGCCATTAATGAATGAGTACGTTGATTAACTCCCACGTGTAGATCCCTTCAAGAATACACGTATTCTTCCTGCATTTCTAGTCAATTCAACATGCAGTACTACTACGCTCACGACATTCTCAGTACCTGAGCAATATAATAACATCCAATAGTACGAACTTATTCACCAATCTGACTGTTAATATACTGTTTCACAAATGACAGAGTTAATCATGTCATTGAAGTTTGCTATAGGGACAGGTTTGTATCTTCAGAATATGTAATTCAACTAATGGCGCTTTATTCGAATGGCGTCCTTGATTCATACCTCAAGATTTGTATAGCTGAATTCACGTAAAATTTACTGCAGCATCTGGTAACTGCACCCGTTGTCATGAAAGGCAGATCACTTGATTCCACGTAACATACTTACTTGTTTATGATGCTAAATATACCTCACTTTTTTCAAAAATATTCTGTATACTTCTATTTGTCTATTTTATCTCTGCATTTTGACCTTCGGACCGCCAGTGAGTCAAAACAATATAAATATATCAGACGTGTATTGTAGTGCCTTCCAGTTATAGTAATGAATTCAAAAATAGTTGTGATTGGATCATGCAACATAGATTTACAATGGTAAGTTCATCACTGTGTATTGTTCTCCATTCTCAAGAGAATATACAACAGTATTTTCTAAGTGAGGTTAATGATTACTGGACTATTTATTGTTTACTACTTGTCACCTTCTTATGAAGCTATATTTACAGCACATACTAAATTCAAGTTATAAAAATACTTATTTTGTCACAGCTTCACCTCACGACTCCCAAGGCCAGGAGAAACTTTGCATGGCTCACTGTTCAGGAAGGGTTTTGGGGGAAAAGGAGCAAATCAGTGTGTTGCTGCTGCAAAACTGGGAGCTTCAACAGCAATGGTAGCAAGGGTAAAAATACTAGTCCTTTCTACGGTCACTATTTGGCATACTATAAACTGGAGCTTTACAAAACATGGTCTTCAGTGTGAATTTTACTTCAGTTAGCTGTATTACAGAACCCATATGTTACAGAAATGTTACTCTTTGGTAGATAAATTGCCCCAGCACTGTCACATGCCTTGAAAGTATGTATGCACTATTAGAATTGATTTCAATTTACATACAGCAGTTATACAGTTTTGAATGTTAATTTATTTCAAAAGGTGAGGACAGATGATTGATATTTATGGATTAGCTACAAAACTTTTATTTAACGTTACAAGTTGTGATTCTGGGGATGGAAAATGGATAAAGATGGCTCAGGATCATGCTCAGTGGATCTGCAGGTTCGGTTACCAGGTAGTTAGTTGTAATTCTGGGTATTCACCTGTATTCAGTACCATGTACAATATAATTTTTGAGAGCTGATTATTCCTAAATATGTTTCCACTTTCACCAGTAACAGTGTATTGCAAGCAATAATGACATTCTAAATGGATGTAACCAGATCCATCTGAACTGGAATAAGTGTCAATATTGCTGAGATTTTAGGCTTATAAGAGGAATATAACATCACTGGCACTGAAAATGCAGATGACTGAACAGTTAGTTTGTTAAGCAAATAAATTCTGATAACTGAATATGCACTAGAAGGGTGTTTCAATTAATTTTAATTTTCTGCACTGCAAATTGCTATGCTTTTTGTGGTAAGCACATGGAAAGTTGTCATTGAGTTTTATTCTGCTGCTATCTAAATAAACATAGTATTTTCTTTGTTTATTTTTTCAGTTGGGTGATGATTCCTTTGGCCAGGATTTCCTTGAGGCCTTGAAAAGCAACAAAATCAATACAGATTTTGTACACATAACAAATGGTATATCAAGTGGAATGGCCCAGATAACTGTGTCTGATAATGGTAAGTGAAAATTAGTTGACAGATATCAGTCCAAATATTTATACCAAAGCCATTTTGGAACATCTCAGCTGTGCAAACTTTACAATGGTTACAGAATGAAAATTACATTTTAATTAATTAAAGGCATAACAATTCAAGGTACAATAGTGCAATGGGCAGAATTACGAATTTAATAGACATTAAAGATACAGAAGTAGAATTAATCATGATTTTATTTTTCCATCATAGTAGGCAAAAAGAATAGTAGTGAGGTGGAGCACTCCTTTATGTTATTTTACATCATTTTAAGGTTATTCGATATATTGGATTATGTTGCAGGTGAAAATACTATTGTAATTGTGGCTGGAGCAAACAATAAATTGAGTGTTTCTGACATTCAGCAGGCATCAGAGATCATCAAGATAGCTAGTGTGGTGGTGGTCCAATTTGAAACTCCAATAGAAACAACAATTGAAGCACTCAAGATTACAAAGAAAGGGAAAGGTCTGTAATGGGTTTTTAAATACTGAAAGGCAGATATACATTCAGCATGTTAACACATTAACAGCAATATGTTATCAGTTTAAAAACATATTTACTGATATTTTAACCTATACCTAGTGTCATTCATTGTCTTAGGCATTGCCATCACTAACGCAGCACCAGCAACGGCCAACCCTGATCCTCTGGTTTTCAACTTATCAGACATGTTCTGTGTCAATGAATCTGAGGTTTGTTTGCTATTGAATAGTTTAAGATAGTATGAAAACAACGTTTCTCAACTTTACACAAAATCAATTTTCTCAGAAACTGATCCTCATACAAAGAAAGTGGTACTTCAGTACCTGATGTAAGAGACATTGTGTACAAAACATGAACAATTTGGTTGAATATTTAATGTGATTTAAATGAAAAGCATTAAACGGCACAGAAATGTTTACCAGTTACACTGTTACTATAGTATGAAATGTGCAACATTCTGAACTGAGTAGGCTGGTACAGCATTACACTAAACTAGTATGCAGGGCGTAACTGATTTTAATCTACTACCTGAGCTGCTTCATGGTTTCTCTGTCTCCAGATGAATGCTGGGATCATAATTTGAAATAGGTCACCATCAACTCATTCCAATTTCTTATTCATGATCACATTTCCATTAAATCTGATGCTAATACAAACTGTTACTTAAATGCATCTGTAAGATAAAAAAAAATTGTGAAGTTAATTAAATTACACAAGTTAAAACAGTCTGGTGTTTCCAGGCAGCAATTCT